GGTAGCTGAAACGGGAGGTGGTTTCCAATACTTCAGCACCAATGCTGATTCGCGGCAATATTGAAGATTGCACCTCCGGTGAAGGCTGAAAGAGACAGACAGTTTTGCTTGTGTTGATGGTGAGCCCGAATTTGGCCGCTGTCGAAGCCAGAGCACTAGTCATGTGCTGCAACTCATCCGCGCTGTGTGAAAACAACGCACAGTCGTCAGCAAACAGCAACATACGGATAGTGGTCTCACAGACTAGAGTTCTCGCACCGAAACGACGGATGTTCAGCAACCCACCATCAATACGGTGCTCCACACGAACACCGTAAGCACAAGCGGCATCAAAAGCACAAGACAACATTGCATGAAGATATATATTAAACAGGGCAGGAGCTAAGACACAGCCTTGCTTCACACCAGAGACAACTGCAAAGTCATCCGAGGTCTCTCCACTCAGCTGCACCCTCGCTCGCATACCACTGTGCAGACATTCAATTAAACTTACAAACTTACGCGGGCAACCAAACTTACCCAGCACCAGCCACAATGCCTCGCGGTTCACCGTATCAAATGCCTTGGTGAAATCAACAAAAAGCGAGTACAATGGCTGGTGTCGTTCTCTGCACTTCTCTTGCAACTGACGAGCCGTAAACACCATATCTATAGTGCTGCGACCCGAACGGAATCCACACTGCTCTTCCGCCACGTTAGGTTCCACAACCTGACTGACGAGGCGGTTGAGCAGGATTCGGGCAATCACCTTGCCCACACAACTCAGCAAGTTGATGCCACGATAATTCGTGCAACATTGCTTGCTACCTTTGCCCTTGTACAGTGGTAGCACAAGGGCATCCTTCAGCTCAGGAGGCACCTCCTCCTCAATCCACACGCGTTGCACCAAGTGGTGCAGCGCAGTCAACAACGCGGGTCCGCCGTGTTTCAATACTTCGGACGGGATCCCGTCGGCCCCGGCACACTTGCCGTTTCGCAGCTGAGCAAGTGCTCTCTGCGTCTCATCCAGTGTCGGCGTATCCGCCAGATCCGCCTTCACATCGTGCTGCTTCAGGCCGTTCAATGTAGGCCAGTCGATCTCTGAACGGTTGTTCAAGAGACAGTCAAAGTGTTTCCGCCAGATCTGCATTATGTTTGCAGTCTGTGTGCAGGTAGCGCCTGAACTACCATCGATCAGTGTCCTCAGCGGCTCCAATCTCGGTCCATACACCGCCTTCAAGGAGTCAAAGAATTCCTTGTGTTGACGGCGTTCGGCGTAGCATTCCATCTGCTTCGCCTTCTCCGTCCACCATGCATTTTTAATGCGACGGAGCTCTCGGGTCAGTCGCCGTCGAAGTTTGCGAAACTGACTATTCTTCCCCAAGTCACTGGGGTCTGCAACATGTGCAGCAAATGCTGCATTCTTCTCCGACACCAATGCGCCGATCGTCGCATTGTTCTCATCAAACCAATCAGGCCGTTTACAGTTTGCGCGCCCGATGGTCTCCTCGGCAGCAGCTGTCACCTGATCGCGAATGTGGTGCCACAGGTCGCCCACTGTGGCTATGCATTCCACATCACACAGGCGTGCAGCCATCGCCTTCTCCAGCTCAGTACGTTTCGCCACAGTACCGAGAGAGAGAATGTTAAATTTACGCCGATTCACGGCGGGAGTGCAATACATAGATTTACGAAAATATATGTACAGTTTGGTTAGCACCAACTTGTGATCAGTGCCACACTCAGCTCCACGCAGTACATGTGTCATGCGCACTTCACGCATATCCCGCTGGCGTACGATGACATAGTCGAGCAGGTGAGCGTGACCACTCCGTGGGTGCGTCCAAGTTGCTATATCACTCGCACTCAGTGCAAACCGAGTGTTCGTGATCGTCAGGCCGTGAGTGGCACACAGTGAGAGCAGCCGGTCACCGTTCGCATTCGCTGAACCAATGCCATGCGCACCGATAACATCTGTCCACACCGATGCATCACGCCCAAGGCGCGCGTTGAAATCACCCAGCAGAAATAGTCGGTCGCTCCTCGGCACAGACTGTATCACGGAGGATAGCTGAGTGTAGAATTGATCACGCGTGTCATCAGGATAACAAACGGTCGGACCGTACGTGCTTATAAAGGTGGCAAACTTACCTCTTCCGAGTCGTAGGCGAACAGTCATCAGTCGCGCGCTGATGCCCGTTGGTTCACCCACCAGCTGGCCATGGAGGCGATCGGATATTGCAAATCCGACCCCATGTTCACGTGGTGCTGAGGCGGCGTTGCCCACCCAGTAGAATGTGTAGCCAGCACCTGCTTCATGCAACTTACCTTGCTCAGCGAGCCGAGTTTCACTGAGCGCCGCAATATCGATGTTGTAGCGCGCCAGCTCCATCGCGACCAGTGCAGTGCGTGGCTCCGGGCGCTCGCTGGAGTTCCGGTCCAGTAGTGTGCGCACGTTCCAGCACCCGATGCTGAGTGCTATGCGCACAGGCATACGATTGCACTGGTGGGCAATCGCACGCGAGGTGGTCGTTGTGCTTCGGAGGTTTGCTTGAGGGACTCCACCCGGAGCCTTTGGCTCAATAGCCTGACCCACAAGGCAGTGGGGAGCAGATCCAGCTCGGGAATGTGATTGCAGAGACAGATGGGGATCTGCTTGACGGCCGTCACACGTAGCCTTTGAGGTACTGGAACAATTATGACATGTTTTGCGACCGTAGTAGGATACGCACCTGCGACCACGGCCAGACGCAGGTGGGTTTTTGGCGGGTTTGCACCAATTTGACCAGGGGCTGCCTGGCTTGAGGCGGTCAGTAGCAAACCATTGAACACCCGGAGGTGTCCTCCCACCGTCAGAGACAATGCGTGGCGCTCGTGCTCTACGCCAATCGAGCTGTGAGCTTATAACCCGTAAACCTGTTGTCTCCCATGGCTAGGTTTTACGGGAAGAGGGTCATCGACCACTTCCTAACCTCCGAAGAGGATGGACTAGGATACTGGCAGGGCACCCACACCTGACAGAACGACTCGGGTCCTCGTGAATACATATATATATATATATATATATATATATATATATATATATATATATATATATATAGTTGGCGGTAGCCCGGTTTCGGATTTGATTGTCACTTTGGCCAGTTCAGGTCAGGAAGCCCACGCCTACAGAGGGACCATGGATGGCTTGCGCTGCACCACCCACAGCTCCAACCACACACCCCATATCCAGTGTAAACCCGAAGGAATAAGACCGGAAGACATGTGGATGGGAGCCACGTTTCATCAACGGAGCCGGCCCACACTTCTTCACAGGCAAACACAAGCACGCTGTATTTGGGAAATCAAGCGCACACAAGGCGGTAGCTGGACCGTAGTCCGCTCCACACTGAGTGCATGGAATCACTCTTCGAGCCTAGCACGGCCACAAGGACCGTGCACCCTGTCCCCTCCAGCAACGACCAGCTGTCTCCTGGAGCCAGTATGGACGAGGTAGTGGGTAATAGACAGGTAGGCACCTTGTCAACATGCACATAAAGCGCAGCCACACCGGGGATATCAAGCAACAGCCAATCACCTGAAACGACAAGATGAAATAAAACAAATACAATAATGCATACAGAAGCGGTGGCATAACTCTAAGCTAAATAAGCATATGAAGTAAGTTGGTTAGCAACAAATCCGAGATAAGTAAAAAATGTCCACAAGTTGGTTAAAAATGCTACAAAACGCAACAGAGTTACCGAAGATAAGCGCAATTAATGTAAGCAACGTGGCCAGTTAATAGAAGAGTATTCAGGTAGGCAGAACAAACTAAATAAATTGGAATGAAATTTAGCCAGCTTAAAAAGACCTAGTTTAAGTGTAAGTTGGTTTAGCCCAACTGCGGTGAAGAAGCATCAAGAATGCAACATCAGCCTCAGCCACACACACACACACACACACACACATACAGGGAATACGACCTGAACGCTGCCCCCAACGCTCCTCGAATCTGCTCAATTTCCCTTCTTTTGCCAGATCTTCCTGGGTGACCCTTAACCTAGCGCAATTGAACGTTCCGGCAATAAACTTACACATCGCCCATTTTTATTTGCCTTTTTACTTTTTCAAGACGGTTGGCTGGTTGTGCGAAAGTAGCATCTCACTTTCGACTGCGCTATAGGCCGGTTCTGGTCGCACAATAGCAGCAGGTTACCCGTACGGTCAGTGGAAACTATAACATTGGTATTCAACAGCCTCACGGGAAACTGCATGACTTAGCTAGGCTTTATGCCTGAGTTATTTTGACCGCATCTCACGACGCGTTAAGTCCAACCTCAAGAATATCGCGTTTTCAGGCAATGAGGTGTAATGGACCAAAGTTCGTTGCGTTACACCCAGATGCACAAGCTTGAACTATGTTTTTACTACAAACGCTGCCACCTATTAAATTTGTAAGCGAACATTATTGCTGGTTTAACTCTCCTAACAATTCCCACTGGCTTTGCATACTAGCCGATGCACAGGTAGGATAGCAAGGCAGTGTCGTCAAAACTTAACGAACGGTTGCCTCTGGGGTTTTTAAACTCTTCCTTATATCTGGATTCCTTAGATTTAAAGCCGTCTGCATGGGGAGTTCTATGTGAAATCAGCAACGAGGGAAATCGTAGCTGCATACATGAACCTGAGTGACGAGTTGAATATTTTAACAGTGACGTCCCCTTATGTAGACCGCTGTGATGCTTAGTGCATAAATGCTTCCTGTCATCAAGGGTGTAGATTGCCTATGAGCCTCGTCATGGAAAAAACCACAACTCCACTTGACCGGAGCAAGCCCCTGTAACGCTCCTCCAAGAAGCAGACACATTATCGATTATAAACTAACGGATCTTGTGACTGTGGCGACGTTTGATGACATAAGCGAATGGAACAAATGCGGCACCAGTAGGTGGAAGGTTAATCAGCGTGAGCCAAAATTTCCTCGTTGAATCAACCAGCTGATGATGGTTGTGTTGGATAGACGATTAGTCCATGTTTACCTTGGATCAGAGCGAGCAAGTGGCAGTGGACTGGCTCGAGCTGCAGCGAACAGAAAGCAGATGCAGGTTACCGAGGTCACAATAACAACAGACGGAAGTGGATAATCAATGAATCACTGGAAAATAGTTGTGGCAACGCAATTTGTCTTAATGAACGAGATTAAGAACGAACTTTTTCTGGATGTGCTAAGAGGGTAGGGCTTATCAAGTGAAGCTCGCGAATCGTGCTCACTCAATCATCTGTTCCAAAGACCAGAACGAGCTGAGGCCAAGGTCGAACTCAGCTAAAGACCAACGGTCAGATTGCGACACACCGGAAAGGCATCAAACAACAGACTGGTATTGATGTGAAATAAACACCCAGGATCGATCGAATGTAATTTAACTCCCACCTGGTTCCCGTTTTGTGCTCGAATAAACTCCAGTTTATCGCGTACTTGCCCTGGGTTCTTTATTACTGAGGATTGGCTTACCCTTGAGGCGTCTGACATAGTTTGGTCGACGGAGGTGGGACACTAACTCATACAAACGAGCAATCGGCATATAAAGAGAGGAAGCAACAGACAACAGCAGTAAAGCTAAGCAAAACAAAACCATTATTACGAATGAGTAGGAGGATTTTAATTGTAATCCGCACTTTGTAATTGTGCACTTTGTTCTACATATCAACGACAGGTCATGGTTTGACGGGAGGCTAAGAAGGATAGGAGGGACAAAGAAAGTCACAATACGAACGCCATTGACATCATTTTGGTGCCATGTCAACAAGTGTCTTCAACCAAACGCGTCCATCATCTTTCGGATCCCAGCCAAATAGTCAAGAAGCTCCGACCGGGGCTATTGTCGAAGTAAACGACTCCATTCTTCTCGACCACTTCAACTGTTGGACACCCAATTAAGTTTCCATACAGACTAGTTGCGCGAAAATGCATCCAAGTGATGGCAAGCGCAACACGTGGCTCAGCCACTGGAGATTGGTGCGGAAACTAATGGTTCTGAGCGGTTCACTTCCTCTTCCTGCACTATACACAAAAAACTTAACACGGTCACTGCACACGGTGTTTCCATCAGATGCGAAGGAAACTGCGAGATAATCGATCGTCGGGCTTAACAAGTCTCTTTACAACTGTCGGTCAGATAGACAAGTTTTCGCAACCGTGCAGTGGTGTTGAACGGATGGCAGCACTGTACACTACCTTTCAGGGCGGGTGATGTGGCGTCTACACCACAAGTGGCGGAGATAAGCAAATGCACTTCTAACTTTGGTTACGCGATTTGTGGTGTTATTTTCGAATGCACGGGCACTGATACAGCTCCATATGTAGTTAAATTACTGGACACCACCAAGTTTTTACGCAGGGGCGCTCACTGTCAATACGGTTGACAGTCAGTGCTAATCTGTCCAGCACTGAATGACACATTCATGAGCTGTCATAAATTAATGCAATATCCTAGACACACGCAAAACAACTCCACACATTCTAAGTCGTGTCTAGTGGACGCAGTTTCCATGATTTCTTCGATGGAAAAGTTAAAAATGAAGCTGACAGTAGGTATCTTTGTATTACACCGCTGAATAGATTGAACAGCGGCGACAGTGTGCCATAAACCTTCACTATACCCGAATTGCGTGAATAAAGCGCCCTGATAGTGTGTACGTATTTCTCGCGCACACCTATTCTGAGCACAGTCCCCAAGGACGCATCGACCCACCGAATCGAAGGCACATTTGATGTTGAGGAACACGACTACGGTGAGTCACCAGGAAATATGGCGGTGTTACAACAACTGACGTAAATTGAAGATGTTGTCAATCCAGCCTCGATTTATACGAAACCCAGCTTACTCCTCACGGAGCGGGTTTTCATGGGTGTCAGCAAGTCTGTGAAGAACGACAGGCGCAAGTCATTTAGTGGCAGTTGGGATCAGACCGACTTCTCTATGATAGACGCATACAGAACGTGAGCCTCCCTTAAAAATTATGACTAGAACCTAACGGTTTCAGTCTGCTGAGACAGTTTCCTGCTCCCGAAACTTCACTAGTGAGTTGTGGGAATCATCCATCAGAGCTGGTCTCCCGAGTTTGAAAAGGGCTGGGGAAAATCGATCGACCACTGCAGCCTTATTCAATTTCAACAGTCAAAGCTCATGTTCGACTTCTGAGCGTGAGGACAGATCCAATTAGCGGTCAACAGAGAAGGGTGAGCAATGCCCGAAGAGGACGCTCATGAATCTGGTTGCTTAAACTGCCGTTCAAAGTGTTCGGTTCAACACCTCAAGCGTTTTGACAAGTTGTGGATTAATTATCCACTCTCATCGCGTTTGGTCTTGCTAACATTAGGTCTCCTGCTGCCGGTTTCCCGTAACAGATGGAACAATTTCCGATGTTTACCAAGAGCAGTTGCTGTTTCGTCTCCGAAGCACGATGAGACCGCCAGGCTTCCTGGGCTCACTTCAGAAAAACACGGAGTTTTATTCTGCGATCTTTGTGTCTCATTGTGTTCCCTTCCAACCGGAACACGTCAACGAGCATCCGAAAGTACCAGAGACTGCACAATGACCCAAGGTCCAGATCGGCAGTTTGATTTGCCACATTAAGACATGCCTGATAATAGTAACGTCTGGCGAATGTGCAAGCAGTGACCTCCACCTGTGTTCAGTGGGCATTTACTTAGCCCGAACGCCAGAGTACTTTGACACGGATTCAGAACGTCTGGCTTTCCCAGTTGGCTGGTGTCTGCGCTTACAGCGCCATTGCGGACGTCCGCCGAAAAGCACTCGAAAGTCAGTGGAACAATGGGGTATATTACGGGCAAAAAGCAAATCACGTAGGATGGCTAGAATGAGATCCACAATATGGTGAAAAGAAAGCAGTGATAAAATGAAAATCCTTTTTGTGGACGCAGTACAGTGTGAACACAGATGCATGCAGAGAGGGTCAACTTCAGTCGGGTAGATTATTTCGGGTTGTGCAACTTACGTCGCATCATATCGTCTATCGAGACACACAGGTTGTATTTCGTAATGTTGGTGGATTAGCGCAACGTCAAGGCGTCTTTTTAAACACAGGTGAAGTGGGGGCGGAAACCACGTAATTTGGGAGGGCGTTCCATGACTGGCACACACGAACAGAAAAAAGTTCCGTCGACATGCTAGCCGAGTGCATTGCGTGGATAAGTTGTACTGGTGGCCCCTCGATTTCATGTTGTGGCTCAGTTGTAGTAGGTGGCTGAAGACGTGGTAGGCCATATTAAGGTCGCCACGTAGGTGCCGGTACCGTCCGCTTTGTAATGTTAGGGTCCTCAGTCTGAGTTGATGCGGAAGATTGTACAACCCCTTTGACGTGCTTCGTGGCCCGTCGCTGTGGAGTCTCGAGCGCTGCAAGGTCTTGCTTGTGCCAGGGCTGCCACACCTGGATTGCGTAGTTATTGAGCAGTTGTGGACAGAGGGATCAAACCGCTCAAATGCCCTCCGCAGCATGCCAACGCGTTGGTTCGAAGTGTTTGATGCCTTCTCAGATTGTTCTGAGCAGCTCAGATCAGCCTGGACCAGTACTTCAAAGTCGCGTTCCTGGGTGACTGCTTGCAGGACATGATCTCCAAGCTTGTATGTGATGTTCGGCCGGTGGCGAATGTGAACCACCTTATATTTCCTTTAATTGAACTGGAGCAGATTGTGGGGTGACCAACCATACGCTCTGTCCAAGTCTCGCAGAAGTGCATCGTGATCTGCTGGGTCGGCGAACGTCCGACAAATCCTAACAACAGCAGCGAAAACAAAATAATCTGAGGTAACCATACGCGTAAGCTCGTTAATTAACATGCGAAACAGACGCGGCCCCAGAACTGATCCTTGTGGAACTCCACCTTGACATAAATCGGATCGGACTGTGCATTTCGAACTCTGACCTGTAGTTGCCAATCCTGCTGGGAATTCTTGATTCACTCTAGGACAAGATCACCAACTCCGTAGATTTCGAGCCTGTGAAGCAGAATGCAGTGGTCCAGTCGGTCGAAGGCTTTGGAGAAGCAGAGGTAAATGTCGTCAGTCCCTCTACCTTCATCGGCCGTTTATACCTAACTACTAGTGCAATCAGTAGATTGGTAGTGCATGAGCGGCGTTGGCGAAAAGCGCGTTGCTCGGGTGTTCTGATGTTGTGGTGTTCTAAATGGTCTACTAAAGACTTAGCGATGATTGCTTCCATCACCTTTGAGGGCATAGAGAGGAGGACCATTGGGCGATAGTTGGCGGGTTCCGAGCGATTACCGCTTTTGAAAATTAGAGTGATTAAGCCATGTTTCCACATGCTAGGCACAATTTGCTTATCGAAGCACATTCAGAAGAAATGCGATAGTAGCCCGGCCAGCGTTGTTGCCGCTACGCTCAGCTCCCTCGAATGTATATAATCGATGCCGGGGGAGCTGTAGGTGCCTAGCGAGAGCAGTTTCTTCAACACAGCTGTGGCAGTAAAATCGATGTTAGTGTGTGTTGGAGTTGTGAGCTAGGGATGTGGGTATAATACAGGGACAGACGTCTCGTTGAGGCGTACTGCATTTGTAGGGCACTGGCTGCTTCGGCACTTGTGCCAATCCGATTGACGTGATAAGTACGGGGATACTGAGCTTCACTTTCCGGATGGTGTTAACATGCTTGTATAAAAGCTTATTGTTGTTGGCAAATTTACAGGACAAATGTTGTTGGTGGGTCAATTTGTCCTCACGGACAAGCATGTTACAATGATTGTGCTTGGTCAGGTAATCGCTCTATGTTTCGGGACTAGGACAAGCTCTGTAAGTGTGCCAAGCTGCATTTCCTTATTGACATGCGCTTGCGGGTTCTACTTCTGTTCTAAAACGAGGGATTGGCGGAGCGAACCCTCTTTGTTTCTGAAGCAGTTGCCATTAGATTGCTGAGGCGTCCAACAAACTGAATCCAGGTGCTGTCAGGTGAGCCACCTTACAAGAATTCCCAATTGGTCGTCTCAACTAAGTCGTTCAGGATGTTGTAATGTGTGATAGTACGTGTTAGTTCTGTGTGTTCCTCGGGATATTCGGCGTACCACACATGGTTATAAAGTATGGTGATATGATCGCTTAGCCTTAGTGGGTTGTCTATAAATGGCCTGTCGACCTTATTCGTAAGTACGAGGTCAAGTACCGTTGCTTTGTAATCAGCCTTGTATCTGGTAGGTAAGGTGATGGGATTGTAAGGTCAAATACTTGCGATAAGGTCTTGCAATTCGATCTTGTTTGTTTTGCTGGGGGATGCCGAGGTTTCCAAGTCGTGCATACTAAAAGCACCAGAGATAATAACGTGTCTGTAAGTTGTGGGTAAGCATTTCGTCAGTGCTGATATTAGGTGGAAATCCATCTCTGGAGTGAACGATGGGGAACGATTTATGACTGCCCCAAAGCAGTTGTCGTTGTGTCTGAAACTCAAACGGCACCATAGCGAATCGAGGATCCGCGTCTCCGGATCATCCAGTGGTTCG